CCATGAGAAATTCTACCCAAGCTTAATCAGCCTGAGAATATACAAATCAGCAGTGAAAATACTCTCTCATGAAGAGCATGGAGTATTACAAAATGGGAGGAAATGTGCCAAGCGAGCAAAAAACATGGGCGAAGTTATGAGTGCAAGAAAGTAGCTGCATAGATTCAAGCACAGGTAACACTTCTGTGCCTCTGCCATTTCCATCCCATAGGGCAGCATCACCACCTCATTTCTGGGTTTGGTATGTGTAGAATGGGAGCAGGTGGGTTTGATTTGCTGATTGGTAGTGCCAAGCAGAATCAGTATAGACACACTCTTGTGGAGGTTAAATCTCCTTGGAAAAGATCCAAGAAACATGGCTCAGTCTCTGCTTTAGTCATTAGACAATATCACCACCCTAACTGGGCTAACCAATGCACTATATCCCTCCTTTTCCCAATCTCTCCCCTCTGGGTAATTCCATTAGGAATCCTCCTTCCCAGAGCATGACTCTTCGCCCCAGAATACCTGACATAGGCTTTAATGCTCATACGTCCATTCTGGAGACTGGTGTCCACAGTTAGGTGGATTGGACTGTGTGCCTCTCGACTGTAGTACTCATGGATCAGGACAGAATGCTCCGTAATATCGTGGCCTGTAGCATACCTTAGAAGACATAACAGAAGAACTTTGAGTAACTGGACACTGACTGATGCACCAAACACTTCCCACTGCAGAGTTTACTGGGACATGGGTCCTAAAACAGTGATCTGCTTTGAAGATAGACCTAAGACTGCCTGAAGCCTGCAAAGATAAAAAGGTTTAGTACATCTCCCTGGTGTCACTACAGTTTCCTGTCAGACATTCAAGATTTAGATGCGCTTGCCAGCAGCAGATTTCGACAGGCCATCCAGGTTAAGTCGTTCAAAACATCAAATGAACATGATTTCCTTGTATGAGGTACTGACAAGTTTTTGGTCAACACCTCAGTGTCGAAGGGATGACACTGTATTAATCCAGCTTCTTTAACTGCTCTGTAATTAACCTCTCAAGCATATAAAATGTTTCATTACAATTTGCGCCTAAATGTGGCGTATAACACAGTAGCTTCCACAACAGCATCCTGAGGAGAAGGGAAGTCTGGGTTTGCATTCCAGTTCTCAGGAACAAAGCAAACCTGGTTTACAGAAGTTACAGGCAGGAAACCTAGCTAAGTTAATTCCACTCTCCCTGAGGCTTGTGCAGTTTTCTGCAATACTTTGCCTGTTCTTATGCGGTATCCCAATAACATAGTTTCTGATCTCCTGGGAGAAGACTTCACAGCATTAGGAAATATCTGCTATATAAGGGATGTCAAACATAGGGACTACGAGCCAGATCCAGCCTGCCAGGCTATTAAGCGAGGCAGAGAATTTGGGGGCATGAATCCAAGGCCACTGGGCCCTGGTGAATGTGGCCCTCAGCACAAGCAAAGCCTGGCATATGCCTCTGTCACAGCATGGGGTAGCTTGCCCCACAGATCTGACTGGCGGGGAGCCACATGGTCTGGATCCAACCCAAGGCACAGGGTGAATTTGACATGGCATGGGAAGGAATAATATAGCCCCAGCATCTAGCAATGCCCCTCCTCCATAATCACTGTAGACAATGCACTCCAGTTCTCAAAATGATATGCTCGACACAGTGTACCAAGTGGTCATCAAGTAGCTAACCTATGCAGCAAAACCTCGCATCTCTCCTTATAAATTCATTTTACTCAGTTTCTAGTACGCAGCAGCGACACTAGCCCCTAACAAGAAAATTATTAATTAATCTTATGCCAAAAAAAAAAAAAAAAACAAACAGCCAAAAATTTGAAGGAAAAAAAAAAGTTTCCTCAGGAGTCTGCTATTCTCTCTTACATCTAAAGGAAATACACTATCCATCCCAAGCCAAGCAAAAAAAGGGAGGCAACTGTTCTAAAAAGAGCTGTAATCATTCCATGCAAAACTTCACAATTCTGGCAATTTCAGGGTAAAAAAAAAAAAAACAGTGATGCAAGCAAGCAAAAAACTTGCCAGGAACAAGAAATGGACCACCTTGTCAAGTAGCACCACTGCTGTGACTCCAAAACTTGTGCAATGATCCAAAGATGTTTGATCAAAAAGGGGGAACAGCAGTACATAACTAAGCAGCAGCATCATAAAGAACAATAGAAAAAGTGTTAGGAATTAGTAAAATTGCTTTCAATCTTTTATTTTGGAGTCACCATACCATTTAAATAAGGGTGTCAAACTTATGGCCCATGGAGCCATGTCACCTGGTCTGCAGGGTTCCTGGAGCCCACAGTCAAATTCAGCAGTACAGAGCTCCACTGGGGATGCAGTTCAACAGACTGAGTAATGCCTGCATTAACCTCCATGGCTCCTGGACATGGCTGACAGTGCTGCTGGAGGTGGGTCTGGATCTGGTCCAAGAGACCAAACAATTTTGACCCACCTGATTTAGATTTGTTTTACCTTTCCCATCTTCTGCTGGTGGTTGAAACTTATTCTAATACACATTTTTGCCAGAGTAGGTATTGGCCATTTTAAAAAGCTACACCTTGAACTCTTCCAAACTTCAACATGAAGATCTCATCTTATATCCCTTTTGTTTATGGCAGACTATTACAGATGTCCATGTCATTCCTCTGGCAAACCTGCCCAGATACTATACATATAATCTTGCCACTCATCTACTGACACAATCATCTCAAGTCACTAGTGCCATGTCCTAAACAAGGGGCAGACAATTCATAGATTAAGGGTCGGAAGGGACCTAGTAGATCTTCTAGCCCGACCCCCCGCC